GCAGGGAAAGTGAGAGATGAAAGAGAGAGATGGGTTGAGAGGGAGGATAAGGATGGAGAGTGTGCAAGAGGGATGGAGAAGGAGGAAAATAAAGAGGTACGGTCTGAAAACCATTACGGGGGGATTCGCTCCGGCGAAATTATTCACGAACCTGTGAAAATGTGACATTAGAAGAGTCGTGCTGTATTATTAAAGCACCACAGTTGCAGAGAGCTAAACATGGGTTCAGATGCACCCTGACTGTGTCGTCATAGCAATAGATGAGCTGGGGTGGGAGAGGACCGACACGACTTTGTTTCTGATGCAAAAAGGCCAGAAGGAAATTCATATTTTGAGTCATTCGCTGACTTTGCCGTGGAATGCCTTTATGCACCCTTGACTTCCTTTCAGCTTTTTTTGCATCCAGAGAGTGCAGTTTGACTATTCTCAAGCCATTTCCTCAAATGGGTGATATTAAAGTAATGTTTTAAAGCATTTTACTGAATGCACACATGCTTACTTAGTGTAAGTGAAAGTATGTTTTAGTTATATATTTCTATGAAATATACTACAGGAGGTGAGAGGTTATGATTTCAGCAATGGTATCAGTTTTTGTGGGCAAGTAAAAGAGGTTTTCAGGTTGCTGGAGGCAAGTTTGGCCCACAAGTTGAAGAATATCCATCCAACGTAATCAGGTTTTAAGCAGATAAGCAACGGGGTAACGAGAGTGACAGCTCTCGCGGTTAGTATGTCAACCACTTTGGTCAACAGTGAAGCCACAGCTCCCCCTTAACAAAACAACTGAGTTGTTAAGTGTCCCGCTGTGGCTCATGAGGTAGAACTGGTCATATACTAACCAGTCGTTCAGTCAGCAGCTCCCTCAGTGCCACTGAGCAAGATATTGAACCCACAAATAATGTGCGAATGGGTCAATGTGGCTTGTGTGGTTTGCAGCAAAAAGCACTTTGAGCAGTCATTACATTAGAATTAGATTTAGAAGAGTGCTCTGTAAGAAGCAGTCCATCTACCTTTATTGTAAAATGTATATTTTGGGTGTCAGCATCTGTGAGGAGGGCACAAGATGTTTGGTACTGGAACCTTTCTGGTT